CAGATTGACAATGTTTACAGGATATCTTAAAATTATACTTTTGGTAATAATCTTATGTCAAATGTCTCTGTCTAAAATTGTGAATATATAAATAAGCTAATATTTTAATTTTTGAACAAGTTTCCAACATGCACATTATTTGTAAAAAATTCTTGTTAAATTGTGAATCTTGGTAGTTTCTCCTGTTTAACAGTGAGCCATGAGAGACATGTACCCTGTACCGGTATATGCTTTATAGACTAATACACTCATGTTTTATAAGCTTAACCACTCATGCTTTAATGAATTGTTCACTAATGTTTTCATGTATTGGCTTGTATGTTCAGTTATGTTTAAATCCATTGTACACAACTCATGTCTTAGTGAGTATACACTCATGTTTTAATGGATTGTAAACTCATGTTTTAATGGATTGTACACTCATGTTCTAATGGATTGTACACTCATGTTTCAGAAGCTCTGGAGTTGCAGCGGATGATTGAGGAGCAGCATCAACAACAGAAGGACCAGGGTGAGGTTGGGACACAGATCTTTCAGATTCCTGTATCAGTGGCTCTTCCTTCTCTCAGTGCAAGCCCTATCATAGCTCCCCTGACCAGCCCAAAAGCTTCCCCGATGAAGATCGTCCAGAGCACTACTCCATTCACGCCCATTGTCAGTTCTGAAAGCCCCACTTCTGTGGTGTTTTCTACAAGCCCTGCCCCTGTAGTGTTTCCAAGCTCTGCTGCCGTGGAGTTTTCTACAAGCCCCGCTCCTGTAGTGTTTCCAAGCTCTGCTGCTGTGGAGTTTTCTGCAGCCGGCTCTGCTTCTGTGGTGTTTGATCTTGGTGGACCTGAGGACACAGACGATGATGTCCAGATAATTACTCCACCACTGAAAACTGAATCTATGGATCACTCTGGTTTAGTCTCACAAGATACAAGTGAAACAATGAAGTTTAAAACAAACAAGAAGCCAATGTTTGGGCAGCTATCCCAGGATGGAGAAGGTGGAATAAGTTCATTAGATCAGCCCACACAGTCAGTTTTCAGTCAAGTTGAACAAAGTCAACCTGCAGACACAATTGTTGGTGTGTTAGGTCAAGTGGGGCAACCAATCACAAGTCAACAAGGAATAGCGGCTATTTTGAGCCAAGCAGGGCAACCAATCACAAGTCAGCAAGGAATAGCGGCTATTTTAAGCCAAGCAGGACAACCAATTAAAAGTCAGCAAGGAATAGCAACTATTTTAAGCCAAGCAAGGCAACCAATCACAAGTCAGCAAGGAATAGCAGCCATATTAAGCCAAGCAGGGCAACCAATCACGAGTCAGCAAGAGATGACAGCCATTTTAAGCCAAGCAGGGCAACCAATCACAAGTCAGCAAGAGATGACAGCCATTTTGAGCCAAGCAGGGCAACCAATCACAAGTCAGCAAGGAATAGCAGCCATATTAAGCCAAGCAGGGCAACCAATCACGAGTCAGCAAGAGATGACAGCCATTTTGAGCCAAGCAGGGCAACCAATCACAAGTCAGCAAGGAATAGCAGCCATATTAAGCCAAGCAGGACAGCCACTCACTAGTCAGGGAGAGATAACAGCCATTTTAAGTCAAGCAGGGCAACAGATGACAAGTCAAGGAATGACAGCTATTTTGAACCAACCAAGTCAAGCCATGCTCAGTCAGAGCAGTCAATCTGGAGCTATTCAAAGCAGTATACAAGGAATACCCATTCAAGCAGTGCAGCCTTTATATAGCCAGAAAAATGCTCTTCCTGTACAAACCATGGATATAGGGGGTGTGGATAGCTCTGGGAATAGCCTCGGTGAAAACCAGCCATCCATCATGTTAGCTATGAAAGATAACAAAATACAAGTCATCCAACAACAACAACAACAACAACAACAACAACAACCCAGCTTGGATTTGCCAGCTCAAGGTAGTGATATCAAACAAGACAATGTTCACATCATGCAGACAGACGTCGTTCAAACACAGACCCATCATGTTGTTCAGACCAAAATTGAGCAGACAGTTAAACCAACATGCCAAGCCCAGTCCATAAAACAAGCTGTGAGACCAACTAAAAATCCAGCTAAGGCTCTGACCCCTGCACAAGCACTGAGAGCTCTCCAACTTCTCCAACAGGCAGGGCTATTAGAGGCATCAGGGCTCTCCTCAGACCAGCAGAAGCTTGTCTCACAATTACCAAGATTGTTATCTATAGTCAAGAATGAGAAGGAGGAAGTAATTCAAGCCCAGTGTTGTCCACCTGTAGACCAATCCATCCAGCAATCAATGAATGTGCAAATAAATGAACCACTGCAAGCATTGCAACAGCAGACCATACAGCAACAGACAGTTCAGACACAGCAACAAACAGTGCAGCAACAGACAGTGCAGCAACAAGTGGGACAGCAACAGACACTGCCGCAACAAGTGGGACAGCAACAGACAGTGCAGCAACAAGCAGTGCAGCAACAGACTCTACAACAGCTGCTTCTGCAACAGCGGCAAACTGTACAGCAGCAGTCTCTACAGCAGCAGACACTACAGCTGCAACAGACCCTACAACAGCAACAACTGCAACATCTTGTAAATCAAAATCAGTTAAAAGATGTGGCTACACAACAGAACCAACTCTCACTAAAACGAGATGTCTCTGGTGAACAAAAAGCACAAAGTATTACAAGGGCCAGCCTTGGTGGTACAACCACATTGCAGCAGAGTACATTGGATTCTTTGGCATTGATTAACCAATCTGCTCCCGGGACCAGTCCAAAAGGTTTTGCCCTTGGAACCCCTGTTTTACAACCAGTGACCCCCCAACATTCCACTCCTTTTCCCCAACAAGTTCTACAAAATCCTACACCGTCCTTGGACCCCAAACAAGGCCTACAATTGTTGCAGCTTTTACAACAAGGCGGGTCATTCATAACAAGCACTCCAGTTGTGCAGATTCATAAACATCCCACACCTGTCTCACAAGTGACCACCACTCCCCAAACAATTCTAACCCAGACAAGGCAAGCGACACCTACATTTGTATCTGAGGCTTCCTCCATGCAGAGCTCGTCAAGTAGTCAGTCTGAGTTATTAACCCATCTATTACAGCGTCTGCCTGTGCAGCACCCATCTCTGCCACCTCAAACACAGGAGCTTACACAGCAGTTGCTGCAACATCTCCAACAGATTCCTGCACAAGGTCAGCAGCAGGAGCTTCAACAGAAGCAGGCATTGCCTCAACAGCAACTCCACCAAACTCTACACCAACAGCAACAACAGTATCAGGTGCAGCAACAAGCGCCGCAACAAATCCAACAACAAGCCACGCCAGTTCAGCAAATACCACAGCTGCCTGAACTACTTGAACTTGAGCAATTGCTACAACAGTATCCCAAATCTGAGGCACAACCAAAACCTCTACCCTCCCAACATCAGTTCTCGAGCCAGCAGGTATTGCCTCAGCAGTTGATAGGTGTACCAGCATCTTCTAGGCCCTCGCAGACATTCATAACAACACAGCAACCTATGACTGAGTCAGGGTCCCAGAAATTTCATATTTTGGCCCCATCATCATCATCTTCAGAGGCTTTACAAAGTCTGAGTCAATCTTCTCAAATGGTTCAGTCACCAGTTGAGAATAGCCAGGTTCCTGGTTCACCTTTAGTTGCCCAATCTCCTCTTGCGCAAAGCTCAATACCCGCCTCACCTCATAGTGTTCAGTCACCACAAATGATTCCTCAATCTCCTCAAATGGTTCCCCAATCCCCAATTATCCCCCAATCCCCGCAGATTCCTCAGTCACCGCTATTGGCTGATTCGCCTCAAGTGCCCCCATCCCCCCAGATGGTCCAATCCCCAGAGGTTATAATACAACATGATCCCTTACTAAGTGAAACCAACCAAGCCTCGTTGCTACAGCAACTCCAATCAGAAGCTCTGAAACAACAGCAAGAGGACCAATTGCAGCAACAACAACCACAAGTATCTACCGTGGAGTTACAAGCAAGACTGCAGCAACAGATTGACCAACTGTTGCAGCTACAGAAAGATCAGCAGCTCTTACAGCAACAAGAAGAACAGCAATTTCAACAGCAACAAATGGAACAGCAGTTACAGCAGCAGAAGGAGCAGCAATTTCAACAGCAGCAAACAATTGAGCAGCAGCTATTAGAACTAGAACAGCAGCAAGAGTTGAATAAACAGCACAATGAACAGCAACAGACCAGTGGCAGTCTACAAAAAATGGAAGATTCTCCGATGCTAGCTGCTGCACTGGATCAAGGTGAGTTAGATTTAATCATATTAATACTGGTATTGTGGTCAACAGGAATATGTTCAGACACATTCAAATGTAAGCGTTGATCCATCTATGCTTCAGCCCCTTTACATTTAATTAAATATGAATGGCCCAAGGCATTTTGAAACAACAAGGTTTGACATTGAGGCTGATGACATAATTTTCACCATTCAGTAGTTTGAGAAAACTTGGTTTATGGCATGAAATGGCCTCAAGAACATGCATCTCCCTACACCTGTAGAACATATAGCAAAAACTACTTCAGTTAAATGGGTGAGGGGCAAATATTTGAGCAACAGGCTTAATTCATGCATGTTATTCTCATGATTTTGAAATTCCTAGAATTTTGTGTTTTCACTGTTTTAAAATATGTTGATGACAAACTTATTGTGAACTTTATGGAATTCATGAATTTTAACATTTTGCTAATGTTGAAACATTTTTTGCTGTCCCTACACGATTTCTAAGGCTTTACACTCAACTTTAGATTTGAATTTGTCTGTATTCTATACCTGTATATATGTGGTCTTGTATTTTGAAAGTTGTTTTGTTCTTATTGATTATTTGTGCATTTGTTAACTTTAATTTTTTTAACTTGGCATGTTCAGATCTGGACATAATTTGGTCTTTAAAATGGATTCCAGCATGTAACACTTATTAAAAGTTTCCAAAAGATGTTTGTAATTATGATGTTAGATGTAAACTTTTGAACATTTCAACATACATGTGCAGTGCACTCAACAACATTTTAGATGATGTTTATTAAAATGACCCAATGTTTAATTGTTGCCTTATTTACATGCCAAAAATTAATATTGTAACTAACTTAACACTATTGAAGGACTAATCTTTTCTGTAAATATCAAAACTTGAACTCATCATTCACTAATTTCAAGTCCCTTATAAAAGTTTATATCAGAGTCCATTAAAGGTACAGGTTGGTTGCTGGTTTAATTTTTGGAGAGGCTTTTTAGTTGGACATCCACTTGAATATTTATTTGTGTATGCCTTCTGAGGTTCTAGGTTCTCAGTCATGCTCCAAAATTTTTTAAAACATTTTAAATTTTAATTGTAAAACTTAAAGTATGAACTTTTTCAGTATGATTTTGAAAAATGTCATATTTAAAGTTTAAGGATTCAAAATTTTCACTTTTTTTAATTTAAAGTTTCAAAATTTATCTTAAAAAGTCATTTAAAAAACTTTGGAACCTAAGAAAGTAAATGTACCCTAGAACCTCAGAAGGTATGGAATATATCTGTTATATACAGTCAGTTTTGGATACAAGGTTTATTCCTAGGGAAATATGTGTGTTGCCCTCAGTCTCTGTGGTTCCTTTTGAAATACACATATTTCCCTCAGGATGAACCCTTTATCCAAAACCTCCCAGTACATATCTATATTCAACAAATTGAGAAGGTACAAAGCAACCTATATATTTCGCATATCATGCACATCTAATACCAATAATACAGAGTTAAGGAATGCCAACTGATTGAAGCGTTGTAATTGGGTGTAATTATTACAGTCTCAAATATGTGTTTATTTAGCATGTAGTTGAATGTGTTCTTTTATTCATTTTATCAGTAATTGGCCACTGGATGTGCTATACTTCCTCATAAATGAATATTTTTTCACATTCATCGGATATTAAGTGAGTTTGAGGTAAAGGGAAAATGTTGTTGTCATCAATTCTAGTTCCTTCATTTACCTATAGGTGGTCTGAACCCAACGGTTGCCCCTAGTTACAAAATGGATGATTCTGAAACTAAAATGCTGACATCATCTCAAGATGAAAACGTCGCCATTCCTACGACTGTCACTACACCTGATGATGTCACTATGGTGTCACAACCACCCACAAATAACCGGGCGACTCAAAATTGGCAACATGCCAACAATTTACCCCAGGTTTCTCCTGATGATGGTATATATTAAATATTTTATGTCAAAAAACAAGCACAAAAACATTGTGAAATAATTTTGGTCTTTCTTGGGTTCTGGATTGTTTCTACTTTGTGCTTGTATTATGATGCAATCTAACAAACAAACATACAATGTGATATATCTAATATACAACTTTAATAACATACTGATTTATATTGCAGGTAACGATAAAAGATATTAAGAACAGAAAATCAAATCTTGAGACGTGGCTATGATTTATATTTATATTGCATTTGGCAGAAATGTTGCACTTTGAAGTTTTCTAAAATATGTTTACATAATTATGTATTCCATGTATTAATTTTTCTATCTTATTTTCCAGCGGTGTAGGTTTGTAATTTAACTAATCCATATTTTGTCATTTCAGGTTAATCGGTTCAGTTTGGTAAGTGATTATAAGAATATAGTTCCTATTTCTGATGAAAGTGCAACTGCCAGATGCAATCGATTTTGAATACATTATCTAAATCCTTGTTTTTCGTGTTTCAGTTGACCGTTTGCTTCAGTCGATGCCTGATGTAAATTCCCCAAATTCTTGATACGTCTGCTTGAAGAAGTGCATTATGGGACATCATTGTAATGCAAAAAGCCTAAAATAGCATTATGGAACAATAAATGGTGCATTTTGAATATAAGAAGAAGATCTGTATAATAAAATTTTGAACTACAAATGTTGATGGATAATTGAGACGATAAAACGATGGGATTACTCAAATAATAGTTGAAATTATCGGGACGAGGATGAAAGATAAATCAGGCTTCAGGAATAATGCTGACTAATCGCCATTGTAACATATGTATTTTCAAGCATAAGGAAAAAATTAATTCTCTGACTTCCAAAAATACATCACAATAGAGATAAAAACGTGTATGTGATTCAGGAGGAGTCGGCAGCTAAGTACAGTATTGTGACTTACCATACAGCATATATGCATACTCAGTCTATTGCGTACCCGAAAGAAGTGGCTCAAATTGAATCTTATTTCAGATTCATTCGCAATTTTGCATGGACCAATATGAATCAAGTTTGAAGCTCTGCACAAGGCTAATATGAGTATGAAAAAACAAGTGTTACTGAAGTCAATTATTTTGAATTTTGAACTACTTTAAAGCATACACAGGTATTTTGCTGGTATGTATTTACAATGATACAGCCTTATGTACTATATTGTATAAATGACTATTAATGTCAAACATATTGTAAGTCTCGCATCAAGCCCTGTGTCAACCCCCATTCTGTGTCAACCCCCCAACACAAATTGGTGTTCCCGGACGTTGGATTATTAGCACTGACCAATGACAAGACTGAGTGGGGAATAAGATTGAAGGGATGACCGAGTCTTGGTGCACTTATTTAAAGATCTCTAGTAATTTTGTGATGAATTTAAATGTTTCATAGAACTTATCAAAAGTGGTGTCTTTATGTCAGCATTGTTGGCTTGAAAAGACCACTATATATGAAAAATATCTGTCAGTAGATAACACTGTTTGAAGTATCGTTTCAGTGTTCTATTGCAATCTTTAGACTTACTTTTCATCCCCCTTGTATTTTCAGTGGACTTATAAGTACTTGGGTCATATTTGAGCTTGCAATAAGTTATCAGAAATATTCCCTGGTCTGTGTTTTTTGGCAAGTGTCTTAATTAAAATGCTAGGTGAACATGACTCTGATCAATTTATTTTTGGTCTTGAAATTTTCCTGGTAAAATGATTTGCTCCTAAGTGTCCACCATATACTCCATTTATTACCCTAATTTCCATGATTTTTGTTCGTTTTACATATAGTGCCTCTTATTGCCAAATAGTTTTGCCCAATGTAGAGAAAATGTATCAAAATATCACAACACCTTAACATAGAAGATAACTGATGATTTTTGAAAGATATCATTTTTATCCAAGAGTGGATATTCATATCTTGGACCAAGCAGAGAACTGTGTCACGGATTGGATGCCTCGAAAATTCCATAGTCCAAAATAGAATGGCGATCAATTATGGCATCAGATATACTTTTCATTATATGTTCTGATTATTGGTACATTTCTTTGTTTAGTATGTTTACTCTGTTATTGAAAGTTGAGTGATATTTTGGTACATTTGTTTACTGTCAGTGATAGTTGAGTGTTGTTATATACCAAGATATTCTTGTTCTGTGTATTAATGGACTATTACATTGGATATATATTTCATACTTGTATAAAGCTGTAAATATAGATATTGTACAAAGGATATTGTAATGTAGGTATATTTATTAAGGCTGGTTTTGACATAATTATGTTTTACACAAAATCATTTTTTCACTCCCAGCTGTCAGAAAATTTTGAATTTGTACGATTTGTACGAGGTTTATACCTGACAATATATACACATTTCATTTAATACCCAAGGAACTTATACTTATTCGTGCTGCTAGACATTGATCATTGATGAAATACTGCTTTTTTGAGGAAATGAAATAGATTTTGTTTGTTTTTCTTAAAAGTCCTCTAACTTTTTACAGCAAAATTTCATGTAAAACAGAATTTCAAAAATGCAACTGATAGAATTTATCAAATGCCAGTAGGGTTATAGTTCTCTCTCTTTGAACTAATTTGATTAATGTTTTCCAAAAAATATTTGATCCGCAGCATATGAGAGACTATAATTCCATATATCCAAAGTTTGTACATTTTGATACTATTGAACTGTTCAATATACATAGATACCACATGTACCACATGTATTATTTATCAATAAACACCAGATTCAGTTCATTTAGTTACGAATACATACATTAGATAGAATCTTTGAATTAAGTTAATGTTCCAATGTTCCAAATGTTCTAAAGTTTTAGTGGTTACCATAATGGTCACTCAGTTTTAAACCTAGCAGAAGTAAAACTTTTTTGGACCACCCTGTAAATAAAATGCTGGTACCACCATAAACTAGAAATTCTTAAGATTTTTGCTGGAATTGACTGGAACCTTTTGAAAAGTATTCAATTTTTAGATATGAATTATGTAATTGTAGTTAGTGTTAAAAAGTTTGTTAAAATCACATTATGTACAGTCTATTATAAAAATATTGAAAAACTGTAAATGTTGATCGTTTTCAACTTTGATAATTTTGTACACCGATATTAAATATTCAAATGAAGTGTAATCAATGTATTGTGTAATCCATATTTAAAAATGCAATTTTGGCTGAACTACTATAATAAGTTGAGTTATTTTGATGTACATGTACTTGTCTATTGAAATGTAAAGTCCTTGTAAGTTAAATGTCTGTTATAGATGCTTATTGATCTTTCTAAAATCATCCTTGATCAAACTTTTTTCTCCTAATCTCCTTTAGATATAAAGATATTATTCCCATTAAGTGTCCTACATAGAGCAGACAATTAACTTGTAGGGGTTAAATGCAGCGATAAATTTTGAAACATATTTGCTCGAGTTTGAACCAATTTGAGTTTCCATGCACATTTATGTAACCATTGAATTTAAGATGTAAATTATTGAATAGAGAACAAGGGGTGTAATGCAGTAATGGTGTATTAGGAGTTGCTACAGAAAATTCTAAAATCAGATATTCATGAAAAAAATTCTCTGCTATCTGTGATTGTGCATTGATTTTGGTTCAAAATCGAGCATTTTGTTTGGCCTAAAATTTGTGAAATTACGAAGAAAAATTATATTTGTTGAAATCAGTAGGAGTTGGCTTATATTATTTTGGCCCTTCTGTATTTTTCAAAACGCTTCTTTTGTTTATATATATAATGTAAATAACCTGAGATACACATATATTTTGTAGATAAAATGTTAAGGTTTTGAGATTTGTAACACATGTGCATGTTGAATGGTCATGTATTTGTAAAATATATGAACAAAATATTGTGATAAGTTGTAATACGGCTATATATGTATTAATGACTGTAAAACAAGAAATTTACATGCAATTCATTTTCATGGAAAATTTAGTCCATCTTGAATTGTTTTGCAACAAGTTTTTTCTTTCCATGAAATTAAATTGCATGGACTTTCTTGATTTACAATCTTCATGGGATGTGATTCTGAATGCTTGGTTAGGCCAAAGATTATAAACAGTACAATTTGAACTTACCGTACTTTCACATACATGTTCCTTTGATTTTCATTTAGTCTAATAAACAGGCTCAAGACATGCCCTCAATCATTTTCATGGGCCCATATTTACTGGATGTGTGTGGAAGACTGACTAATTATATCTTTTAGAATGAATTCTTCCTCCTTTATATATACAGGTAGCTAAATTAAAGTAATACTTTGAGAATGCTTAATAATCAATAACAGATCAGAAGCTAGCTCACATTAAATGTACATGTACCATTGGAAAGCTGCAGTCGCCAATGTATTTCCAGAACATCTGTTGATTATCATTTGGTTCAGTTTAATACAGTGAAACCTGTGATTTGGAACACCTCTAGAAGTGGAACACCTCTGTAAGTGGAACACTTTTCAGAGTCCCAAGACCAGTAGACTTAATGTTAAATGAACCTTTATGAGTGGAACACTTTTTGGAGGTACCAAAGGTGTTCCACTTAGACAGGTTTTATTGTACTATGAAGACTGGTGTGGTTCTTACAAATTGTACTATATATAATCGGTCAGGGTGCCCTGTACTTTATCCAAATCTTCATAACTCTCATCTAAAATCACAGACAATGTGAGTGACAGTGACAGTATTAACTTTTGTAAATAATTCTAATGTTACGATATTCCATTTTGACTAGACTATAAGTAATTCTGTATTTTAGGGAATCTTCCTGTATTTTGTAAAATGCCCCATTTTTGTAGAAGTCTATTTTCTGAGGTTGACCTAACTTTACACCATGAAATACAACTGACAACCATATGTTGTACAGTCATGTACAATGTCTCATGAAAAGATTCAAGACTTCAACCAAACCACCAGTTTGATTAGGAGTACTCTCCAAGAAGCCGTAAATGAATATATACACCTCTTCCAAAAGTTAGTGTTGTATTGCCATGCTTTTGGAGAGGGGTGTATGCAGAAAAACAGGACTGTTTTTATATGGATTTTATGAAGATTTCTTGAAAGACAGATGTATTGAATATAAACAGTCGGGTGCACGGCCTCAAGAAAGCAAATTCAATTAGGTGACTGACCCATGTAAATGAATGGGGGATTATTGCATTTCTTGATGCTGTTCACTTGTCTGTAATGTTAAGTTTAACGTCTTGCATTATTTCACTGTCCGAGACAGCAGCATTATCTTTACTTGTAGACTAGTACATGTGGTTTCTTAACACAGAACCTGTTGATTTTCTATGCAGAATTTGTACATCACAAAACTAGGTCTGGTTGTTTCGTATATATGGTCATAATAATTTCAATTTTCTTGAAATCAAAATTTCCGTTACATCTTACAACTCTATCAAAGATGGCAGTGTTCTGTTTAGTCTTGGCTACAAGCCCCTGTGACCCCCCACTACCTGACTACCCACCTTCTCACACAGGGGAGGTAGGTGTGTAGTGGGGGGGGGGGGGCAGAGTCAAAAGGGTTGTAGCTAGTGCAAGACTATGTTGTGTTGATTCTTGAAACTTAGCAACTCTGTGTTAAGAAGGCACTGTATGTATATTTCTAAAGCTTTGTGTTACATTATTGAAAATGTCCCATGTGGAATATGTATGACCCAATAAAATTG